AGTGTATTAAGAGAATGGAAGTACTAAAGAATGATGCTATGTCCAATAAAGTATCGAGCCTACACTGAAAATTGCGACTAAAGACAATTTTCTTCTTCAAATAAACTCACTCCCAGAAAATGTTTTTTCATTCTTTTTTAAATAAAAAAATTTGGGAAAAAATGTCTAAAATGTGTAAACCACTGCAGGTGGGTATGGAGGGGGCAAATATTAGCAATTGGCAAAGAATCACAATTAGGGGACAAGCATGCTCAGGGGAGACATGATCACTTCTGCCCCCCAGCTAGCTGAAGACGCTATACTGTAAGCTTGGTTTTGTAAATGTAAATATGTGGGGGGGGGGGGGTCGCTTAAATGTTAGTACTTTATTACTCTAAATTTGAGCAAATATTTCCTGTTTGGTTTCTAAAAATATTTATGTACCAAGGGTAAACCATTAAATCCTTCTCTATTACTTAAACAAACAGATCTGCCCCCGTCCCTCCTCAAATATTACGTCATAAATATAAGGTGTGTCAGCAAACAGAGGTTTCAGGGCTCTGCGCAGAAAAAGGAAAAAGTTTGTAAAATTTTTCTCAAAAATTTTAATATTTCATGACTGCGATTTGCAGGGCAGTAGGGGTGGGGCTATCTTTTTCGTCAGAAAGGATTTAAAACGGTATTTTTTAGTTTGCTAGAAAAACAAAACAAAATATATATGAATGCCTAAATAAGACAATAAAAACTTATCACAATTTTCTATGTAAGCTATAGATACGGTCAATTTTCAGCTGAAATTAATAGTTTCAAATTAGATTAAAAAAACTATCAAGAACACTATGTAGAAAACGTCTAATTTAAGGATAAGCTACCTTTACAGAAGCTCGACCAGTTACAACAAGATTGTATATTAAGGTTGATTACTCTCGATGCGCTCCTATGTATCCTAAGATAGATAGATAAAACCCTAATATGACGTCACTGATTATAGAGGCGAGAGTGACGTCATCTTAGGTTTTTATTTAGGAGACGACATTTTCCGTAAATTTGAGCATATTAAGAGTAACCAACCTTGGTTACGGCCTTGGCGATGTATATTTTAAAACACAAACAAGTTAGCCCCCCCCCCCCCCGGTTCCCTCTTTTATCAAAACAACCCTATTTTCACCTTAATTCCTCCCCTAACCTAAAGGATTAATAGAACTGACCCAAAATGATTTCTCCAATATCGGGTTCTATTCTTTCTCTAGTTAATCGGATTAGTTGAAGGGTATGGAGTTGTAAGTTGAGGAACCAATATTTATTTGTATAGGGTTAGATATCGATATACCAGATACCTCACTCTTAGAACATATTGAGATACAGGGTTACTCACAAAAAATGAGCCTTTAGAGACGATTGTACGGAACTCAGTTTGTCTTTGATCTTACATTTAAGGTTACCTGCAGGTTTAAACTAGGGGTATTTACCCCAGGATTCTAGGGGGGGGGGGGGTAAATAACCCCAATAACCCTCCTTATGGCCGCCACTGCATACTTCTTTGCCATTAGATACAGAATTAACCAAATCAAATCACCAGTTTGTTATATTAAAGAGTTTTATGCCGTCAGTAAAGTCTCATCCTTGGTGGGCAACCCTATATTTCTAGGTGTAAACTTTTTTAAAAATTATTTAACAAATGTTTTGTTTTTAGAGACGACGGACTGAGGCTTTAAATAGAAGAAAAAATGAATCAGAAAAATCCACGAAACCATTAACACCATCAGCGAATGTCAAGAAGGATCATTTTATCATTTACAGGAATATATTCAGTTCAAATCATTGTCATAATGGGAACTCAGAGGACTAACTTTGATTAAGGTATTCAGCCTTTTGTGTCATGTTGTCTCACTCTCAGCTCAATCTCCAGGGTGTGACAATTAGAAGGACCGTAAACGTTTTCTTACGTGACACTCCACACTACGATGGCAGTGCCGGATTCACAACGGTTTTGAAACATACTTATGTTTGATTTTCTTCTATCTCCATATACATTTAAAAGTTCTCCGAAAGCTTGTAAAAGTAAAGATTACTGCAAAGTTTTAAAACTGTTTGTCACAGGTTTGGTTTGTTCCTTGCGAAAATCCGCTAAATTGAATTAGTTTGAGAAGAACTGAATCTGTTGATCAGTGAAACGAAGAAGGAGAAATCTGGAATAGTCAACGAGCAGAAAATAGATTCGTATTTATAGATATTAAGTTTGGGGAGGTGGTCGTTTTCATGGTGCTTGGTTACTACCAATAACAACGGCGGGGTCCAGGGGTGAGGACTTAAAATGAGAAAAATAAAAATTCTCACCATTTGATAATCGAAAATAAATGATGAGGAATAAACCAGGGTCCCAAACGCATCAAATATCATTCCCCCTTGAAACATAAATCCAAGGAATCTAATAAAAGATATAACGAAAGTGGGCAGGGATGGTAAAACATTATAATTATGTGTGCATTTATGTGAAACTATAGCAACAAACAAATATAAATTGCCATTTTCTATTTCTTTGTTTAAGACAAAAATTTACCATCTTAAGATAAAAATCAGCTTAGTGTAAAACATATTTTAAAAGGAAAAGTTTTTTCTTTAAAAACCTAACTTTTTGTATCTACAGTCCCAGAACTTTAAAGACATCGAAAGAATTTATAAAATGTCGTCTTGAAAACTTTCAAATGGGTTTTAGTCTTTAATAGCTTAATCTCAGTAATTATGAGATAAAAATTAGCCTTCAAATATGCGGGAACAGTTTTAAAGAGCTCCATATAATCCCTGTTTCAGTAGGTTTAGAAAACCACATTTTATAAAGTCTTTCGATGTATCCGAAGTTCTGGGTAAAGGTTTTTTTGTAAAAAATGTAAAAAATCTCCTAATTATCATAGTCTGGCTGTCTAGAAACCAAGATTAGAAATTACAAGACACAATTTTCAGGTCTAAGATAAAGAAATAATGAACATACATGGGTAGTTATAGAACATCCAAACAAACAGGGGTAGATATAGAACATACAACATACAGGGAGTCCAGCAGTCGTCACCAGACACTAATGGAATGAGTCTCGTCTTCCTTCGTTCGTTTGTTCACCCATCCGTTCATCCGTTTGTTCGTTAGTTCTTTCAATAAATGAATGTATGTCGCTAACGAAATATTTCTTTAAATGTTCAGAGCTGGGAACTAGATACTTGTAATCCCGATCGCTTCATCTGGATATTCACAGTGGGTATTTTAAATTTGATGATCAATGCAAAATTTTATTTTATTTTTTTATAATTTAAATGGATCTTATGATTAAAAGACAGAAAGAAGATGACAATCATTGAAATAATTCTGAAAAACATAAATAACAAAGTTTTTTAAGATAAAAGATAAATTTTGTTTAAAGGGTCACCTACTTCAAGTTTGAGAAATTGCAGGGAAAATGATCTCTCGTTGTTGTGAGTATGATAAAACCTTCCCTTAAAGGGACAGTAAAGGAAAAATGAAAGGGGGTATAGACTGAAAGCTAATCACTTTAGCTCTTGATCTCGACCCATGAAAGTCATATCTGATGTTCTTGTCTCGAGAAATTGATATAAAACTGTGTCAAATCTATATGAAAATTAATATATATACAATTTTGTATAAAAGTAGTAGGTTTAAACAGATCATATTCAGCAAATAAGCAACCAATCTGAAAACGATGATATCCCAGAAAAAGCTAATTGTAATTTTGTTGAACAAAATCATTTTAAACTCCCCAGAGCCTTTGAAAGTCGTCTTTACCAGGTTTGCCAAGGATTTATTTCTCTGACGGAGACATACACACCAAACCCAACCCCCCCGACCCTGAAACTCAATTGTGTACCAAAACCGCTCATGTTAAAGTAAAATAAGTTAAAATATCAAGTGAAAACAATCTTTCTTCTTTTTTTTTAAACAAGCAATTATTTTCAGAAGACAATTATGTTTTAGTCACAAATCAATCACCTCTCTATTTCGAGTGTGTTAAGACCTAATAGTAAGTTACCCTTTCAAATACAATCATAATACTAGCAACGAACAATGTTCGGAACTTTTTTTTCAATAGTATCAACTTATCAGTTTATAAATATTTACTCCGCTCATTCAACAACCTTAAGCTGTATCCTTACCATTTGTGTTTCTTAAAGTTGATCATTTGCCATTTTTTTATTAAAACAAATACTCGCATTTTGTAACTCCAGAAACATTGTAATTAAATCATCCTTGTTTCAGGTTTGAAATATATTTTGCGACTAACAGTTTTAACACATCGGAGAGAGTCCTAGAGAAGCTTAATCACCTTGTGTATGCCTTTACAAATTTAGGTTTACTTTTATATTTGTTGTTTCTATTTTCAATAGATTTCATTCATAATATTATTTATACATCCGTATTGCTTGACCAGAAATTCCACCAATGGCAGTGCAGTAAAGTGGTCACGTGATACAGGCGGACAAACGTGACCAGTATACTGCTCTGCCATTGGTGATAGTTCTGGTCACGTGATTTAAGTTTCAGATTTTCAAAATTTTACATATATGAATTTTCGTATAATTTTAACACAGTTTTATATCAGTTTCTCGAGACAGGAACATCAGATTTGACTTTCATGGGTCGCGATTAAGAGCTAAAGTGATTAGCTTTCAGCCTATACCCCCTTTCATTTTTCCTTTACTGTCCCTTTAATGATAATTTTTATCTGAACTTCCTGTTTAGTCTTTGATTAGAAAATTAAAAATGTTTCTAAATAAATATTCTTTCAGTGCAATTTTCTAATTTCCTAATTAGACAGCTCGAGGCTTTATCTTTAGGAAATTAATAAGATTTAACATCTGAAAGTTTGACAATAAAATAAAAAGATTTAAAAATGAAATCGTGAATTTAAAGACAAAAGGAAAACAAGCGTATTTAATATTTTGTTCAATAACAACGATGTTGTTTAAAAGTACAATTGTGAATCTTTGGTGTACCAATTGTTAATATTTCCATCATAAGTTTACACACTTTTTATTATAAAAACCTTATATAAAGACAAATAATTACATTAACCAGTATAATATATCGCAGATCTGTTAAAATTGTAAAAGCATTCTAATTCAAGTAAGATTTGGTACAATACGCTTTTGTGCTCTGCTTCCATTTTATTTCGTGGATTTTCAGAGTTCATCGTGTGCAATTTCTTCAGCGCTTAGCGGTCTTTCCATCTGTACCTGATAAATTAATCAAGAAAATAAAATTAATTAAAATGGAATACATGTAAACTATTTTGAAGAGCCCTTTACGTAGAGAGAAGCATGTCCGAGTCAAAATGGTACTTTGTCCAATTAAAGATGTCAGAATGATTATGCATTTTATCCGCCAAAACGCCTTTGATTGTTGATAACTAAACTTTGTATCAGAAAAAATATATTTTGTTAAAGTCCTTTAAATCAGATAAAGGGGTTTAAAGGGTACCATTGTAAATCGGACACTCAGCTCAATAAATAAAAGGTCACTTGAAATTACGTCTACAGTCCCTTCTAGCTGGATAAAGATTTGTTAAAATCAACAACTGCAGATGTGAGTATAAGAAATATTACCCATTAGGTAGTTTAACTTTATAGGGTTCTAACTTTACTGACTTTGGATAAGATTAAGATAAAAAACCGACTTTAATTCCAGTCTTATTTTTTCCCCAAAAAATCTGAATCAAGAGTGCATTCATTAATTTTGATAAATGCAATCCTATTGACAGGTTTCTTTTCACAAAATTTAGGTTAAAGATTATTTTCAGTTATCTATTATTTGTTTTAAGCATTTTAGGGTTGGTTTTAAACAGTTTTTAGGATCCATTTAATTTTGATGCGGATCCGGATCAAGGTCATTTCTTTAAGATTTATTAATTTTTTTTTAACATAACAGAATTTTCAAATTTTTTGTCTTATTTTGTTCGCTTATTTTTATGCTAAAACTTAAAGAACCATTCAGAAATCAGGACATTTTTATAATCTCTTTTTTCCAATAGTTCAGATTTGGGTTTTGAGAGTACAAGTTTTTTTTTGCAGTTTTTGGCTGATATTTTGCGCCTTGCCAAAATCTTGCGGATCCTAAGCACTAGGTTTAAAATATATATTTTTTCTCCGTAAATAAATTTTAAAAAATTTAAAAATAAATAAATTCTATGGAAAGACACAGAAAGACAGAAATTTGACGTCTCAAAACTTGCAAAATCAAGGGGGAAGAAGAAAGAAAGATAAAAGTTTAGGATGATCAGATTTTTAAAAAGAGAAGAAAACAAATAAAACATAAATCTTAAAAAAGGGAAAATCAAGATAATGTTAAGTGAATTTTTAATTAATTCACAACGGTGAACTTTGAAGTACGGAAAAAAATCTTTTAAAAATCAACTTTTGCAGAAAAAGTCCCAAATTTTTGTGTATGTCACTTACTATTACGCAGACAGTCCCTTTAAACTTTAAAATTGAGGCACCTGAGGTTGGTCTAGATGATCTACAGCAGCTTGAACTACATCAAGGATATCATGTACAGGCACATCAGGTCCCCAGACCTGGAGTACCTCACCCTCACCTCCCACAAGATACTTGTAGAAGTTCCACTTCGGGCTCATACCTAGAATACGTAGTTCAGTTTACTCCTAGAACACGTTGTTCAGTTTACACTCAGAACACGTAGTTCGGATTATACCAAGAAAACGCAGTTCAGTTTACATCTTAAACACGTAGTACAGTTTACACCTAGAACACATAGTTCAGTTAACAGATAGTACACGAAGGACAGTTTTACATCTAGAACACGTTGTTCAGTTTACACATAGAGCACGTAGTTCAGATTACACCAACAATAAGCATTTCAGTTTACATCTAAAGCACGTTTACACCTAGAAAACATAGTTAAGTTTACACACAGTATACGGAGGTCAGTTTACACGAGCACACGTAGTTCAGTTTACACATCGTACAAATAGGTCAGTTTACAACCTGAACATAGAATAAGTAGTTAAGTTTACACTTAGATCACATAGTTCAGTTTACACTTAGTATACGTAGATTTGTTTACATCTAGAATACGTAGGTCAGTTTACATCTAAAACACGTACGTAGCTCAGTTCACATCAAGAATAAGTAATTCGGTTTACATCTAGAACACTTAGTTCAGTTTACATTCTGAACACATAGTTCAGTTTACCCCTAGGACAAGTAGTTAAGTTTACGCTTAGAACACATAATTCAGTTTACATCTAGAATACGTAGATTAGTTCACATCTAGAATACGTAGGTCAGTTTACATCTAAAACACATAGTTCAGTTTACACCAAGAAATAAGTAATTCGGTTTACATCTTGAACACTTAGTACAGTTTACATCCTGAACACATAGTTCAGTTTACATTTAAAACACGTAGTTGAATTTACACCCCTAGAACACATAGTTCAGTTTACACGAGAACGCAAAAGTCAGTTTAAACTTTAAAAAATATCAAAGTGTGAAAACTTGACAGCTGCTCTGCTGAAATTTGCCATCCCCCCCCCCCCCACAGCGAAAATTACTCCCCATCCCGACACCTGGGTGGATGGTGAAAAAACCCTGTAAATAAATTACATGTAAACTTGAATTGAAAACTAGAAGGAGAAGGTTTTAAACCTGAGGATTGAACCAGATATTTCCAAACTGGGTCAGCGTTCTTTCCAACTACTTCAACCTAAAATTATAAAAAACAATTTTAACAATAAAATAAATAAATAATTAGTAATTTTGAGATTTGAGACGATACAAAAACTTGATTAGTTTGTCTTGAAATCTACATGACAGAAACAATCTCAAGAGGTTTGGTCCATCATCATCGCCGAATTTAAAAACAAATATTATTTAGCTTTCTCTAACAATTTTATATACTGTATTGAACATATTGCATATTAAATTTAAAGGAACTCTAATGTAGAAATACCAAGGTTCCATCTTGAAATAAAAATACAGGATGTCCCACGAAACATGGCAATAGAAAGAGAGCTTGAAGGTCGGCTTTGGTCTTTTTTGCGGTATTTGTTAGCCTACGTTTACATGCCTGCTTCTTGAAACAATAAGTACTACAAAATGATCCTAGTTCTGGTATTTCTAAAAAGTGGTCTGCCTTTTTTGCGCTGTCAATATTATCGGAGATAATAAGAATTTTTCAGATGCGAATTGATCAATAAAGGCAAAATTGTTAAAATCTAAACAAAAAGTAACCAGATTTCTTAGATGTTTTGCTTAAATCCGGAAAATTCTGGTGACATATTAAGTCCTAAAATGGTCCCTGGACAGTGGACATACCTCATAAACAATATTGAATGATACTGAATACTAGTAAACTATGGTCCCTGAACCAACCTTATCCATTATATTGAATGATACTGAATACTAGTAAACTATGGTCCCTGAACCTACCTTATCCATAATATTGAATGATACTGAATACTAGTAAACTATGGTCCCTGAACCTACCGCATCCATTATATTGAATGATACTAAATACTAGTAAACTATGGTCCCTGAACCTACCTTATCCATTATATTGAATGATACAGAATACTGTTTAATAAACTCCTTTATCTGGTGCCTGGACCCTGGCTCCTGAGCTCCAAACTGGTTGCAGGGATACCCTAACACAAAAATACAAACTAAAAGATGTCTAAGGAATTATCAAAATGCCAACACTTTAAATTGACTTAAGTGCCGTATTTAACCGTGACAAAAATTGGTAATTTTTCAATTTGATTGTTTGGGTTATGTTATAATTTGTTTGAACAGCTGCTTATACACAGGTTGGCATTTTTCTCGTGTCTTTTATAGATTTATAAATCTAATCCAGTTTTGAATTAAACACAGCCTTTAAAGGGAGTGTCCGCGAAAAATGAAAGGGGGTATAGGCTTAATTCTATAAAAAAGCGCTTTTGATCGCTACTAATCTTACTTCTATCTGTTGCGTCTATAAGGAGAAAATTGTTAAAAACGACTAATACCGAAAAACGTAGTGTCCATACAAATTCAGAAAGATGCAACATACGACTTAAACCGTAAAAAAATCAATTTAATTTCAAAAAAAATCATTCAGATATTACAACCTATAGTCATCGATTATCTTTCGCCACATTTGTAAATAGTTGATTTTTCATAATATGTTTTAATTGTTATGATCTGAGAGTTACTTATAAAAACATTTATTCCTGTTTCGAGGATTTTTGGTAATGAAGACGACATTTTCATATTTTCCAGGAATGTTCGAAAACAAGTTGCAAGATAAATATTATTTAAAAAATAAAATCAGAACATATTATGAAAAATCAACTATATACAAATGTGGCGAAAGATAATCGATGACCATAGGTTGTAATATCTGAATGATTTGTTTGAAATTAAATAGATTTATTTACGGTTTAAGTCGTATGTTGCATCTTTCTGAATTTGTATTCCTTCGGTATTAGTCGTTTTTAACAATTTTCTCCTTATAGACGCAACAGATAGAAGTAAGATTAGTAGCGATCAAAAGCGCTTTTTTTTCGCATTAAGCCTATACCCCCTTTCATTTTTCGCGAACACTCCCTTTAAATCATCTCATAAAATCAGGGCTCCGAAGAAGATGTTTCACTACTAGACATCAGACAAACACATTTAAAGGAAATGTAAACGTAATTTCAAGGGACCCTGCATGAAAAGATGGTGATGCGCGATACACAACGGTACCCTTGAAACCTTTATCCATCAAGAACGTTGAATATTTTGCCGTTATCTTGGCTTAATAGAGTGATTCTGATATGGTTCAGTTATCTTTTCCTGCAGCAGAATGTGCAAGTCAGTTCTAGAGAGAAACCATTATTAAAATTATAAACATTGATATCTCATGATCAGCCAAATGTTTTGAGGGCACTGTTGAGAATCGGATATATGCCACTCTGTAAACTATTTTCATGATTTGTTTAAACGATTTAAAATGTTTCTCCCAAAGCCATAAAAAAAACTATTTTGATTTTTTAGCACAATATAGTTAAATATAGAACAAGATACATAATCAGAAGGAAATAAATAAATTTCTATTGAATTGATATTATGAATTAAATATATATAACCTATTAAAACAAATTAATGTTAGAAGACGACCTTGTTTATCATTAATCATTATCCATTTCAACGTTTAAAGAGTTTCTTCGTAATGTTAAGTCTCTTTGTAAACATTGCAATGAATGATTCACAACGGTACCCTTAAAACCTTTTTCTGATCAATAATGTGGAAGAAATTTTCGTTTTTCTAGGTTAATAAATGGTAAATTTTGATAGGAATATCGCAGAGAAACCACAATTGAAAATAATCGGTTTTTAAAATTATAAACAAATTGATATCTATTTCAGTGTTGATCAGACTAAGTTGTTATGGTTATCGTTTTGAATCCAGCATTGCAATATTTGCATGAAGGATCACATAGAAATACGCGAACAGTTCCTTTACGACACAATTTTATTATTTCTAGTTTATTATTCTACCTAGAATAGTAAACCTCCTAGTAGGTTTATTATCCTACCTAGAATAGTAAACCTCCTTGTTGGTTTATTATCCTACCTAGAATAGTAAACCTCCCTGTAGGTTTACTATCCTACCTAGAATAGTAAACCTCCCTGTAGGTTTAATATCCTACCTAGAATAGTAAACCTCCCTGTAGGTGTATTATCCTACCTAGAATAGTAAACCTCCCTGTTGGTTTATTATCCTACCTAGAATAGTAAACCTCCCTGTAGGTTTACTATCCTACCTAGAATAGTAAACCTCCCTGTTGGTTTATTATCCTACCTAGAATAGTAAACCTCCCTGTAGGTTTAATATCCTACCTAGAATAGTAAACCTCCCTGTAGGTTTATTATCCTACCTAGAATAGTAAACCTCCCTGTAGGTTTACTATCCTACCTAGAATAGTAAACCTCCCTTTAGGTTTATTATCCTACCTAGAATAATAAACCTCCCTGTAGGTTTATTATCCTACCTAGAATAGTAAACCTCCCTGTAGGTTTACTATCCTACCTAGAATAGTAAACCTCCCTTTAGGTTTATTATCCTACCTAGAATAATAAACCTCCCTGTAGGTTTATTATCCTACCTAAAATAGTAAACCTCCCTGTAGGTTTGAGTAGCTGATATAGTTGTTGTAGTGCTGTATAGTGTGAATCTGTGTACCCGCATTCACTTGCTACATTTACTATCAGAACTACCTTTCCCGCAAGATCTTCCAACTTTAACTAAAAATAAATCTTTGAACAGGAAGTAAAATTTTTTTTTTTAAAAACTTTAATCCCAAATGAACTTTGCACCGGTGTCCTACCACTGAGTTCATTTTTTGCCCATACAAAGTTAATAATTTTCCCATGAGTTAAAGGAAGATTACATCATTTTAATTTTTTAAAATTTTTTCTTGAAAAAACAGCATTGAAAATATCAGATCTCGAATCTTAATCTTCGGAAATTTTTATGGGATGACGACATTTGAAATTCATATCCTTTTAAACAAGTTTTAATCCAATAATAAAACATTTAAGAATGTAATCCATATTTAATTAAATTGGCATACAGGAAACCAAAAAATCTACAGAATTTACAGAATCTCACAATTCATTTACGAATTGACATTTTATCTCAAACAAATAGATCGGTCAACCACCATGATGTGTTAGACAATATTTTTTCTTTCTTATAAATACATATTTAATGAAGTAATTCTTAAAACAACAGAGGCCATTCCTTTCAACATTACAGTGGTCGACCAGACAACATCTCTCAATTGTGATCTTATAATTTATCAGATAAGAACTTGGCGTAAGACGTCTAGCGGCGTGACTATCGTCCTCCAAAGTAAGACCACTGTTCATACATTATTATATGGAGAGAACGGGCTCTGAGGAGAGTACATTTAAAGGAAAAACATATGTACTACAAACAGTAAAATGGGTGTCGTCTTCTTTCTTTATAAATAAAATTTCACTTCATATTTTATAACCTGATTTGTAATTATCTATTTTATAGATGCAAAAAACTTTAAGACACTCTTTGTCCGAATGCCACATTAACTTGTTTTGTTTGCTTTCCAAAATTTAACTTAGAAATAAGACAAATGACGATTATATACAGGATTTAAGGTATAACACGAGGATATCTTATTCATTGTTGCTCAGATAAAGATCTAAACGTTACTGTTGTAAATTGAGCATTCTTTAACCCTATAAAGGCTGGAGAGTCTGAAACTATTTATAGCGATACAGGCGGACAAACGTGACCAGTNAAAAATTAAGAGTGCTAGGAAAAAAATAGAGGGGGGGGGCGTCAAACGCCACCCCCCAGCCTGTTTAAGATTAAATGGGGGTCACTAGAAATTGCGTCCAGTCCCTTTAAAATGAAAACGTTGACCTTATTTCCGTTTACAGTCCCTTTAAATTGAAAATATTGACCTTATTTCCGTTTACATTCTTTTTAAAATGAAAATGTTAACCTTTCTTCCGCAGTTCCCATGAACTAAAAATGCTGACTTTATTTCCGTTTACAGTCCCTTTAAAATGAAAATGTTGAGCTTTTTTCCGTAGTTCCCATAAAATAAAAATGCCAACTTTATTTCCGTTCACAGTCCCTTTTAAATGAAAATGTTGACCTTATTTCCGTTAATATCTAAGGACGAGAAGGAATGAAATTGTTCAGAATTGGTGTAGCAGCCAATAGCTAGGAGAATAAATAATTTGATCATTTTAAATCTGAAATTTTATCTTCTTTTTTTACTTAGTGTGAATTTCCTTGAAAATAGTTTCGCTCTCTCATCATAAAAAAAAGAGTATTTTGGAAAATTAGATTCTGAGAGGTAATCACACTTAATATTGATGTCAGTAAAACATTATTTTTTTGGTGAAAAGTAACAAATATAAAAAACTTGCAAAATTACCTATGAATTTAATATGGATTCTTTAAAAATTCCTTAAAATAAAGTGGTGTTGTGTATATATGAATTGAGTGCAGCTATTTAACAGTAAGTCTTTAAGTTTTGCAAATACAAGTTTTGTATACAGGGTGTCACACCAAACATGACAGTAGAAAGACGACTTGAAGGTCATCTTTGATATTTAAATTTATTTGTGACATTCAGTTGTCAACCTACTTTACCATGTTTGATTTTTGAAATAATAACCACAAACTTCTCATAGTCCTGGCTTTTCCAAAACGTGGTCTGCCTTTTTAGTGCTGGAGATATTAAGAATTTCCTTTGGATTTCAATTTTGTTAAACAAAAACCAAAATTGTCGAAACCTGAACGAAATTTTTCATATTTCGGGTAATATTGAAAGCACAAAAATGGCAGACGCTATTTTGGAAATGACAGGATATTATATTATCTCTAGATATTTTTCTTCTAAAATTAGGTTGACAAAAACAAATTGTACCAAAAATCAAAGACGACCTTAAGTCATTTTGCTACTCTCGTGTTTCTTGAGACACCCTGTACATGAATAAATTAAATTTGTTGGGGAAAAATATAAGAAACTAAATGGAGAACCCAGAATTTTTTAACCACGCTAAGACTCTTCCATGACTCTTTCGAGTTGAGTTAAAATTTTATGCATTTTGGATAAGAGTTTCCATCAGACATACAAACAAACAGAACTTGATTATTACTTTATATATATAGAAAACATATCACAATATTGGCAAGAATATGAGATTAATCTAATTTACACGGGTTTGATCTTAATATTGCTTGGCCGGTTATTAAATCAGTTTGATGAAGTTCACGTGAGCATAAGATCCGTTGGCCAATTGGAGATGAAAGTTGGTTTTATTTGCCGATCTCTAGTCGATCTCTCGTCGATCTCTCGCCGATCTTTTGTCGATCTGCAAATATGTCGACTCAGGTTACTTTTTGTGTTAAAGCATTTTCCACACTCTTCGCACATAAATTTTAAATCTCCTGAAAAAATATTTTTAAATGATCATCGTGAAAATAAAGTCATCAAAATTAACTATTTCAAAAATGTAAATAAATATGTAAAATTATTTTGGAATTTAACCAAAACGGAGAAACCAAATCTAGTCAATGAGTTGGTATAGCACAGAAATATCCTTAAGATACATAGCTTGCAAAACGTTAGTGGTCAGTTAAATAGGATATGTACTAGGGATTTTAGTAGTAAATAAAAATGCAATGGTGAAAAGGGAAAATAAAGTAACAAGTAAAAAAGTATCAATAAGGGTGGAAAAAGTTGCATAATGGACTTGGGGTGGGGAAAAATTCGTGAAAATATGTACCCCAAATATGACGTGTTTATGTACCTGTATGTAGTCTTTCATGTGTTTTAAGGTTTTGTTTTTGATTGAATGTTTTCTCACAGATGCCACACTGGTATAGCTTCTCAGCACTGTGAGTCCGCTGATGGGACTTCAGTCCAGAACTACAAAATGGCGGGACATTAATCTTCTTAAATTTTTTTAAAAATTTCAGTGATCTTAAAATCCGAGCTTACACAACAGCTAATCAAGGGCGTATACAGAAATAAATCTGGGGGGGGGGGGGATTTGAACTGTAAATTCAAAACATTTGGCTTCTTGGATAAGTAAAAGATATTTTAAAGGTACACATACAGTCCAATTACCTTGCATGTATTATACTTTATCTCTCTTAAACAAAACTAGCAGAAAAAAGCCTTGTTTCTAAAAACTCAACATTTTACTATAGTGTTATGTTAGTAATAATTAGTATTTAAACTAGAGAGAGTAAAAGACATTTTTAAAAATAAAAAACTTAACTTAAGCTTAAATTCTATGAGATGAAAAAAAGGGCAAAGGTCCAGAAAACAATTATGACTTGTAAAAGTTACTGTTTTCAAAAAAAAGTACAATTATAATCTATAAAATGAAGTTCTTCGCTTATTTATATGTTTGCTATAGCTGGCCAAACGGCTGAATCAAACGGGCAGAATTTTAGTGAGGAAACTTATGGATACCCTTGAGGATGGCATAAGCTAAATAAATCATAAATTTTTGTTTAATTAAATTTTCTAAATTCCACGGGCAACACCTGGCACTTCAGCTAATTTGTAATTAAAAGAAAGATTACAAAACGGCGGAGCAATGAATAAAGTAAATTGAATCCAAATTAAAAAAACAAAAAATGGTCTTTTACTACCTCCAAACTCATGCCTTCGTGGCTTGGCATTTAAAAATAATTGTTTTACTTCGCTATCCCTGATAGCGCCCATCAGATTAGGATGAATGTGCATTCTAAATAGATTTTCATTCGGACTTCTGTCATGGTGGCTTTGGTCCACGTATACAATCTTCTCAGTGCGTTGAATGAACAGCAAACTAATTTTTTTTTCTGTTCTTCACTCTTGAGTTTAAGATTTGAAAAGTGTGAAAGCTCTGAGTTCTAGGGGGGGCACTGCCCCCTTGCCCCCCCCCCTGTATACGCCCTTGCAGCTTATAGTTGACTAGAGCTTTCTTTGGGTAAACATTGTCAATAATCGATTTTATTAGTTTAGTAAAATAACAAACTTATATATTTGACATTAATTACTCGATTATAATTCATTGATATTAGAATTCATTTAAAATGATACCGATTTGCTTTTTATTGGTATTTGATAATTTCGTCCATAATTAATATTTGATTAATTGATTGGTTGTAAACATATTGATGAGATAAATTAATTGCTACTTGGCTTATTAACGAATTGATATTGATTCATAGAATACTATTTGATCAATCAATTGATACCTGTTTGATTGATTGATTAATATTTCAAGTTTACCTAAATGTGAAACTTCTACCACAGTCATTGCAGGCGAAAGGTTTCTCCCCGGAATGTATTCTCATGTGATCTATCAAGTGACATTTCTGAAGAAACCGTCTGTGGCACACATCACAGGGATACTTCCGGTTTCCTGTATGACTTCTCTCGTGGTGGTTTAAATGTCCAACCTTATAAAAAGTAAACAAAAACTAAATAAAACGGAAAAATATCAATAGAGAAAAATAAAGAGATTTCAAAGAAATGACATTTCTGTATAGGCGAAGAAAAAATGCTTTAAATAGTTCAATTCTAGTCATAAGCAATACCAATTGAATTTCAGAATAATTATAATAAATTAACCAACAAAATAAAAAAGCCATTGAATTACTGAATTCTCCATATTATGCAGATAAACGGATAAATTTGATTCCTCATGTGATGGTTATGCCCTACAGGGACAACATTAATTGAGGAATCAAGCAATGATCCTTAAATTAAAAGTGCCCGCATCGAATATCGAGATCATGATTAAATCCGCAAAAGTTGGGACCTCAGAGCTGAAAACTTTAGAATGGTGGATATCGAAATCAGTGCTTGATCTCTTTTTCTTAATCTCGAGATTAAATAATGCTTGTTCTCCTCTTGTTATTAATCTCCAGATTAATTAACCGATTGGGATTAAGGATATCCCATTCTAAAGTTTTCAGCTCTGGTGGATTTATACCTGCTTAAACTTTTTATGACAGAGTGTGCATTTGTATGGATATTCTCCAGGATAAATCTCTCCTAAAATTATTTAATATTTAAGAATGTACAATATACACTGTACAGTATATATACCGTAAGGATACGGTTTTATACTTGGATTTCCATCGGAAAATTTACAAGTTTAAAAAAATTGAACCATGGAGATTGGAGAGTACTACAACGTCTTAAAGATCGTTTTTTTTGGGACAACCTGTACATTTTATCGAGTAAAAGGTAACGATTTTAAAATACAAAGTATCTGATCATCATGGCCCTCATGACTGGTATTGGCCTAGATGTATTTCAAAATATGTGAAAATATCTGTTGAATTTAGAGAGTATTTACAGAAAATATGTGTTAAATTTAGAGAATATTTACATAAAATATCTGTTAAATTTAGAGAATATTTCCAGAAAATATGTATTGAATTTAGAGAATATTTCCAGAAAATATGCTTAAAATTTAGAGAATATTTAAAGAAAATATGTATTAAATTTAGAGAATATTTACAGAAAATATGTGTTGAATTTAGAGAATAACAAAAAAATAACATTACTTTTAATTACCTTTGTACGCTTTACGTGTATATCTTTCTGTCAGATGTTCAGAACTGTTATTTTCAGTCTAAAAGTTCAATATCATATTTTAGACAATTAGTAAAATTCTAAATTCAGTTTTAAAATTCTCAACTGAATAGTTTCAATTTGTCCCAGTGAAGGGTGAACATTTAGTTTAAAAAAAAAGAAAACGTACAGTTTATATGTCTATATATATATAAATCTGCGAACCTTTTTTTCTCTCAAAATCAAAAGTTCAAATTTTTAGTTCTAGTCTTATTTTTAAGAAAAAGTTATTTAAATTCTCTCGTTCCTTTCTTCTCAGTTTATTCTAAAGTATTAATACGCTGTTCAGTTGAGACCTTAAGAACCATTGAAAAATAATTTTTTCTGTCAAAATAATACCAGAACTGAAAATAGGGAATTTTTTAATTACAATTTTGGAAATTTTCTGAGATTCTGTGATTAATCTTTATAAAATTTTAGATTTCGATAGAAACAATTTATTCACACATTTTTGTTTTTCTGAACTTTTGATTTTGAGGGAAAAAAGGTTCGTGGATTTTTTTGGGCCATTAAAGTACCAAAAAAATTACAAATTTTCAAAAAATGTTGAAAAAACACCATACAGGAAAGTTGCACAAAAAAGGTACAATTTTGCACCAGGCGCCGCAAATCACACTTTTTTTTAACTCACCCTGTATTTGTGTATATCTAAATAAACAATAGAAAATGTTCTAGACTTATTTTATTTAAACATATATATTGGATGGCAAATATTAAAAAAATGTGTGTAATGAGACAAATATGAAAATTAAATAATAAATATACTCAAATCTATAAAACATTCGAATGCTCCGCCACCCCCCCCCCATTTATTTACCTTGGATAAAAGGAAATTTACATCTTCTGTTTGAAGAGGATCTTCTAATTCTTCCTCTTCTTCCTCGTTCTCCTCCTCCTCCATGTCCTGCTCCTCTACAAGGATATCCTGGTCCTCCTGATCTAGGACCTCCTGCTTCTCTTCACCAAACACAAGGTGTCGAACCTGTTAGCGATATAATTAAAGGGACTGTTCGTAATTCTAAAAGACCTTTCATTTAAGAGTAGCCTATCCGACTCCCAACGGCTTTAAACTTTTGCTCTAGAAACCATGCGGAAAATACCTTAAGTTATCTATCTTAAAAATTTACAAACTCTGTCAATTTCTATTCTAGAAATTGCTGCATAAACCTTAAATCTACAAGAATTTTTTTTATAGAGAAAACGCAATTAAAATTAATAATTCTTCTGTTCAGAAAAAGGTTTAAGTGGTATCATTGCCAAGCTGTTAAACATCTATAAATCTAAGATTAATTGAAATTACGACATTCTTGACAGAAGATAATGCTGGGAAGAAATAAAATAATAAATGAACAATGCTTTACTATATAAAAAAGCTCTTCGCGCATATGTATGTATAGCTTGCCAAACGGCTGGACCAAATTAGCTGATTTTTGTTATGTTATCAATGGGTACCCGGGGGGTGACATAGGCTAAAAAATATCATTTTATTTTGTAAAGTGTTTTAAAACCTGGGCGCCGCCGAGTCCTTCACACAAGCTGTAAATAGGTTATTAACAAAGCCATAAAAAAACTCGTTTTAAAATTAAAAACGTATTTTTCTTGTATAGGATAATCAGCTTAGATTTGACATTGATGAATCCAACCTGAGCTAGGGTATAGTCAGGTAGAAGAACAAAATTGTCCAAGCTCTGTTGGAATTGCAACGAAGTCTCCAAAGCGGGGAAAATCAACCCTACCTAGAAAACATTAAAATCAATCCAGGGGTATATATTTTCTTGAATATCCATCCACTAATCATCATTTTGGTATATGTTCATGAGGATATTGTTTCACTGAATTGGGGAACTGAATGAATTTGTGGGTAAAAAGTATCAATTATAAGGATCAAAACTTCCATTTTGATCATCCCACCCACAGAGGAAGGATTATACATGACGATAATTATACACCCCCTATTCAATCCTAAATCTTGTAGAGTATATGTATATATACTGGAAAAGAAAAATAGGACATCGTCTGTTAAATTTCCACCTTCTTTGATATTTTTCCAATTAAATTCTTTAAATTTCCCTGATTCAGAAAATGACAAAAATAAGTCCGGGCCGCAAAAAAATTGAGAATATTTACAGAAAATATGTATTAAATTTAGAGAATATTTACAGAAAATATGTGTTGAATTTAGAGAATAACAAAAAAATAACATTACTTTTAATTACCTTTGTACGCTTTACGTGTATATCNGGTATGAAAATAAACGACACTTTTCTATGTTATGTTTGCAAAAGAATCGAAGAAAGCAACGACGATTTTACAAAGATTAACGGCGCGAATAAAAAAGATGCTTAAAAATGCCCGTTTTGCTTATAACCTATATCTTTTTTATAACTCATAGAGCCTTTTTTTTTAACAAAACAAATAAATCTATCATTTTTTATTTTTAAAAGTCGAAAAATACTAACAATCCACCACCATGTTATATTAAATATAATGTAAACAATAAAAATGTAACTTTCCTTTCCCTATCCTGTTTCTTTCCTTTTCCTTTTCTTATTCATATTTTTTTTAGAATTGGAGGTATCAAATAAATTATTTAATGATTTCCAAGAATTCTTAAGGATTAATTCCCACAACCTCTTTTTGAGGTTTTTAAAGATTTCTCCTGAAGCACTTAATTTTGTATGTTTTTGTTATATTTCATAAATACATAGTTACTTTCTTCTTTACTTAAACTCTTACTATTAGTTTAGGTAGAGTTAATGATAATCCATGTTTACAGTGTAGAGTAGTATCCTGGTATAACGAACTAGTCCCGTAAACCTAGAAAAAACGAAAAATAAATATGTAGTCAGGCTAGGGGGCTGGGCCCTGCGGACACAAGACCAATTTTATACATATGTTAATGTTACAAATGAGATGTACAAAATTGAAAGGAGGGGAGCAGGGTCTGAAAATCGTTTACTAGGACATTAATATTTATTTCAGGAAAAAAAATGGAATGTATGTCCCAGGGGAAGAGGAGAATTAGGAACATTTTCTCATTTCCAAATATATAGTACCTGTATAAGATATTGAAGAGAGTAGGGTTTCCGTGTAGTTCGTATTCTCATATAATCTTGCAAACTCATACTTTCTAGAACATGTAAAGATACATTTGACAGGGCATGAAAACAGGGACGTAAGGGAGAAAATAATACATGCATTACTTTACTTACATCATAAGATAAAGGTTCATGGTGGGTAATTTCCCGAGGAACGATTTATTGGGAAGACTTTTAAGTACACTTGTACTTTTAAAAACCGGTTTTATAATTCCATGTTCAATCATTGACCAGAGCTGGGAACTTTAGAATGGTGGATATCAAGATTAATGCTTGATCCTCTCTTTTTGATAATCTCAAGATTAACATAATCTGCTTGATCCTCTCTTTTTGATAATCTCAAGATTAACATAATCTTGCAAGATTATCTTAAAAGTGTATGAAAAACGATAACATTCAAATTAATGTTTAATCATCTGAGAAACTGTAGCAGCCAATCAGAGAAAAGGGGGCAACCAATGAGAGAACAGAAATATTCTCATTAGAGAAAACAATTAACGGATATCAAAGGAGGGAGAAAAAGAGTGGATTAGGACAAAAATGAAAAGTTTCCACAATGGATATTCGGATCAAGAAGTCAGGATTAAAATTTATCCATTCTAAAGTTCCCAGCTCAGGTCAATGTCCTAGTAAAAATAAACAGTCAATGACTTAATTAACTTTTATTAATTTCGTGCGACTTCCACTTCTGGTCAAAATTGATTCAATGGCGAGGTATGTTTACACTAAATTTAGGTCTGTGGATTTAAAATTCCGTATTATTACGAGCTTAGAACATTTGATTGTATTACATAAGTTGCTCATGCAAGCTAAGTATTCCAAAGCATGGGAAAACCCATTTTATAAATTACTAAAAGACATGGTTTAGTGAATGCATAATGTTTACAACGCATGCATACAGCCCTCCTCCCTCGCGTTGTTAGTTATTTTATCAAAAAATCTAAAGTTCCAACTGTGTATAATTTATTCATTTTATTAAATGTCAGTCATTCTTTTCTGATAGATCATATACAATTTCTATATAAATTGTGATCTCTTTAGTCTAGAATTTATTATACGTCAAAGTCACCCCAAAGAAGGCGGTTAGCGTATACAATGTTTACAACGCATGCATACAACCCTCCTCCCTCGCGTTGTTAGTTATTTTATCAAAAAATAATAATTAACCGCTTTAGAATAAGTACAAATTACAAATAAATTAAATAATTTTTGAATCCATGGATGATTAGCGAGCCATGCAACCTTACTACTACAGATTGAATGAATTCACTGTCGTACTCGTGACTCGTCTGTCACTGAATTGTTTTGAAATTGTGGACAGAATTTATGTGGCGTTATGTTTACGTGGACAGATTAATTGTTCTACGCAGTAAAATTTCCGTAGAACCTATCTATTTTCAATACTATTACAGATAGGGGCCTTATTAGGTTGGTTCAACTTGGTTCACTTTAATAATAAAATTGTATAATCTCCTCTGCTCCTTATTCCGTCATTTCTTTACTCTTTTTTCAATATTGTTTTCTTATTTTGCTATATCCCGACCCTCTCTATTCTTGACCCTCCCTTGTACATTATATATCCATTCTTCCCTTTCTCCCGTCTCCTTCCAATCCATATCCATTCTGCCCTCTTCCTTGTCAATTCTCCCTTCTCCTTCTTTATCAATTTTTCCCTCTTCTTCCTTATCCATTCTCCCTTCTTCTTTCTTATCCATTCTCCCCTCTCCTTCCATTATCTATTCTCCCCCTCCTTCCTTATCCATTCTCCCCTCTTCCTTCTACATTATACTCCCTCCTTCCTTATTCATTCTCGGCCCTCTCCTTCCTTATCCATTGTCCCCTCTTCCTTCTCCATTATATACCTCTTCCTTCCTTATTCATTCTCCCCTCTCCTTCCTTTTACATTCTCCTCTTTCCTTATTCATTCACTCCTCTCCTTCGTTATCATTCATCCCTCTTCTTCCTAATCCATTCTCCCAT